AACAGAGCCAACGCACTCTCCACCAACATATCTTTCGCCGCACTCGTAACAATTCTCTTCATCGATATTAATATCCAGAGTTCACATAGAGCAATTTTCAAATTTTTGTTCTCGTTTAACAAGTCAGCTTGTTCGCTCGGGAGTAAAGTAACTAACTGTACTCGCATATCTGTTAGTAAACAGAAAGTCAAAATAAGATTTATAAAAAAATTGGAATCATGTGATACAAGGACAAGAGAAACGAGACGATGAGAAGAATGATTTTCGCATCTAAACGCATGAAACACACGTTAATTGTGATGAGTTTGGTCACGGAAGTTCTACGACGTTAATAATCACTTTCAAACAAAAGTGAAACGTCCTGTCTCCGTAAAATTAATTATTGGATAATTTTACCTCATTATCATTTTGCATTATCTATAATTTTAATAAAATATAGAAACTATAAATTATAATTGAATATACGATTTTTTTTTTTCTTACTCAGGAAGCACTTCAAGATTTAAAAAAAAATTATAAAATTAATCTACTAAATATATTTATATCTTATTTGAAGAAAATTGATGCAATTCATAAAAAATTATTTATAGTAGACTTTTTACAAACGTTACACAAAGAAGAACAATTTCATCACAAACGTCACTCATTGTCATTAATTTGAGTACCAATTAGTGTCTCGCAATTAACACATGGAAGAATTATTGAATTAGCACACTTCTTTCGTAAAATTAGTACAGACAAGAAAAAAGAAACAATTATTCGTAATACAAGGCGAAATGAACGTTAAACGGAACGTTATTTCCTATCGCCGATATGGTCGAAACTGAAACGCGAATGATGAGAATTCGAATGCTAAGCTGTGTCACGTGGGCTTAGCAAGCAGACGTTACTCAGTGACGTTCTTTAAGTCAAATGCCATTAACGGTATTATATCATATGTTAAACAGTATTTTAAAAGTAAAATAAAAATTGACATTCATTGTATGTGATCTTATGTAAATGTATTTATGCCGCGTTTCTTTGACATCTATAAATATACATTTGCAAGCATGTAAACGTACGTTGTCGGGGAACTGTCGCATTTCCTCTCGGCTGCGAATTCTTTGATCAGTTTAGATTTGAAGATAGTAATCAATCTTAAATTAAACGAATTAAATTGTGATTTGCAAGAAACGCGAAGAAGCGCAACGAATAATTTACTGTACACGAAAAGAACGACTTTGCTGAAATATCTAAAAATTTAAATACACTGAGAAAAGAATGTACTAAAGTTTAATAAATACTTATTTAAATAATACTCGTTTTATTAAATGTAAATATATATTTATTTAGTATAAGGATCATTAATTTGTGTGATTTAACTCTCATTTTTTATATATTTTATTTAATTTATTTTGCTGTAAGTAAATGTTAAGTTAGTGTTCAAACAATTTTATAATTTTAATACATTTTTCTCTCAGTGTACAGATCTGAAAATAATTTTGTTGGACTATCAAAATAAATAATTATGTGGGACGCTTAAGCATAATAATCAATGTTATAAAAAATTTTGAACATTTTAACTTGAATGTCCTTAACTATAATTATTTTGATAATCTAACAAAATTTATATTTATATTTA